TGCATCTTCAACTGACATTCCTTGTTGCTTTCTCTTACAGTGCAAACAATAACAGTTTTTATCACAACAGCAAGGAAGGTAACAGGAAGGCTCTGAGGCACAGGCTCCCATTGCTTCATAACAGCAAGCTACAGTATTGTAAGGAAGAGGTAAGAATAGCCATGCACCACAAAACCATAGAAATAAGAGCATAAGCAAGTGCATTTACCAGAATTTAGGTAGAGTTTGTTTAGTCCAAGGCAGATGAACAAAGGCTATCCTTCCTTAAACACTCATTTTGCAGGTTCTGCTTCAAAAGAGTTTGGAGGTTCCTATCAATTTGCAGCTTTTGATGTAGCTAATTTCTAGTATTTACCTGTTTTCCCCAAACCCACCATACTGCTAAATGAAATACTGCTGTCTCACATTAAAAAGAATGTCAAGAGCTCCAGTTTCAAACTGTTTGACTGTCAACTATAGTGGCTAAAAAGACGAAAGAAGAGAGGAGAGTCCCCATAAAACCTTACCTTATTGGTAAGCAATTAACATAAAATATACATATACCCACATACATATATATAGGTATTTGCTGTTCTAGGGAGATGCTGAAAAATTGAAGGCAAAATGAAGTATGCTTTCCAGTGCCAGGAAGGCTGCAGTCTTGATTCAAAAGAAAACTGGAGAGGACCTCTAGCGGGCTTGAACTGCAATGTTCGGGTGCCGGAGAGCAACGTCCTTCCACCTCACCTCCCTGCAGTTACACCACAGCTACTGCATCAGTCACCAGCGAAGCCCGATAGCTTCACTTAGAGAGTTGCATCAGAGAAAGCACGTACAAGTGCAATTACTGCAGTAAGCTCCCTTTTCTGGCCAGCTGATTAGAAATATTTCCTTGGTCTGCTCCCAGTGTTTGGAGGGACACATTTCCATTTGCTTCAGAAAAACAGAAGATGGGTTCCATTGTACCATGTAGGTCACTAACATGCCAGACCACTTCAGAGTAGTGTTATGTAGCCTAAATGACATCACACCAAGGGACATTCAAAGACACACAAACTCAGATGTACATTTGGAATGAGGATTCAGAGTATTATTTCAGGCTATGTCAAGGCATTTCTTTCTTACAAGACATTTTAGCTGTACACAGTTTTGCACAGGCAGCAGAAATACCATTTTGACTGCATTTTTAAGGTAACTGCTGGGTGAAGAGCTTGGAACTCCGTCTGAGCTCAAACAAGGCATAATTTCATGTGATGGTACATGAAAAATAGGTTAGTGAATGTATTCAGGAGAATTTAGATAATAAACCAGGCCAGATTAAGGAAGCTTATTAGGCATCCCAGTTAAAAAGAAGATAACTTGTTTTGAGGTTGATGATTCATTCACCTGTAAGTCTTTAAGAGACTTCTCTTGCTATATTTAGGTTTGCCTTCAAGTCAGATCAATTCTATCATTTCCCAAAGTAGCGTAATTTACATCTTCAGTGTTATAGGCCACAACTTATCTCTCTTTTAAATGATCCAAGCAAAGGGTTCGTATCAGCTTGAGAAGGACCTCAAAATAATCGACAGTGTTAAGCAGAGTGATGCAAGGCAGCTGCTCGTTATTACTCAAACATAACATCACCTATACTGCAGTGGTGCTCCTTGTGCCATTAAGCACAGTGCTGGAAAGGAGGCAAACCATTTTGCAGAGCAGTTACCTGAAGAGAATAATACTTGCACTTGGAATCTGAGTCAAGAAGAATGCGTCTGCTCTGTCCTTCATATACAGCAATAACAGTACTGCCCTGTCGTAATTGAAAAGTATCCCTGGAAGTCACTCAATACAAGCATTCATGCAGAAAATAACTAAACCAAAGACATTAAGAAGTTCATATCTTATCAGAGACCTGATCAAAAAGTAAGTGGAGTCTCTCAACCTCCATCTTTTTTTGACCAACCATCATTGACTAGGCCCATCACTAGTAGCAGAATAATGTAACTTATTTTGAAAGAGTACTAGTGGTGCCATAAAGCCCAGTTGTGTTTCTCTCCTCGATAGTAATCAGCAACCCAGGCTGAAAAAGAAGCGGTTACCTTTCTTGAAGGATTTTGTAAGTTATTTTACAGTAAGATTGTGTACAATGGAAATAGTCCAAAAGACACACTATGATTAAAAAGAATAAAGAATTGGAGCTGATGAGGATCAGCTAAAGGTGAGGATGAAAAACACAACATACTATGAAAACTTTTCTTAACACCGTTAAGTCAAGCAACTAATTTCTTAGGAATTACATTCTTGAATCTGAACTGCTTTATGCTAGAAACAACAGCAAATGAAGAGTTGACCAAACTCTGAAGTGAAATGACAGAAAACAGGGTTCCAGAACTGTGGCTGAATGAGGTAGACTATATCATGAAAGAGATGTGAGTATTAAAGTGAGTTCAGGTGCAATTGAAATCCCTTGCAAGAACAGTAGGGAAAAAAGGGAAAAAAAGTTTTATGTTTTGCTTTAGATTACAATGCAAAATTTTGACAATAGCATGAAGGAAAAACAAAGCAAGCCTTCTAAAACAGGCTGGTTTAAATAAGAGGGAAAGCCTAATACAGAAGAAAATATTTATGCTGTGTTCCTTCTCTTCTGATAACAAAGTTGGTAACTTGCTTTAGAAGACTCACTTTAAGTGTCAAACCACTGCATTCATGAAACTGCCTCCAGATGGTTCCTTTTAACAACATCACTGTCATTTACTTTTCAGTGTTCCATTAGTTCTGCAGTCAAGCACTCCTCAGCTGGCAGATAAAGATCAAAATGTCATTTTGAAATGGCAGAATTTGTGAGTTGATGTATGAGCAGTGTCCAGCTTTTATTCACCCAGTTTCTTCCTGTGTTTTTCCAATGAGAAAAGTTTTAATTTGCTGTCAAGACAGCTGCAATTATGAATGGTTTATTATTACTACTCTGATCAGGATTACTGTTCAAAGGGGGGAAAAAAAACCCCACAACAAATTCAAACAGTAATGGCCTTTTAAAATTGTCCAGCTTTTATTCACCCAGTTTCTTCCTGTGTGTTTCCAATGAGAAAAGTTTTAATTTGCTGTCAAGACAGCTGCAATTATGAATGGTTTATTATTACTACTCTGATCAGGATTACTGTTCTAAGGGGGAAAAAAAAAAAAACACAACAAATTCAAACAGTAATGGCTTTTTAAAATTTCACTACTTTGGGTGGAAAACACAACACTCCAAAGTGGAATGCATGCAGCCCAGGGGATGCACAAGACAATCCACTGGAGGGAAGTAAAAAAATAATAAATAGACCAATTAACATTTTAATTACTAATGGTTTTAATTTAGTTAATAAAGTAGTATTTTCAGTAGTGTTTATTTCACCTTTATCTCATCTTCTTAAAGTTTCTGTTGTGCATGTTCTATAGGTTGCATAACAGATGACAGTAGCGCATGTCTAGTTTATGAATAAATCAGTATAAATACATTGGTGTGCATGCTAAAAAAAAAATAGGGATGCACAGCCAGTAAAGTTTGGAGACCACTCGTTTATAGGTCTTCAGCACCATAAAGTAGCATTTGCTCCCTTGCTAGAAGGAGGTAAAAATAATGGAGGAAGAACTGCATGCAGAGAAAACTTTTCAAGTGGGCTGCATTTTTCAGTTACTTACCTGCAAGTTTAAGCACAGGCAGCAAGTGATTTTTCCGAAACAGTTAAGTGCTTAGCTCACACTATGCCTAGCAGTTGAGAAACCCTTGAAAGTCCCATGAGATTCTGACTGGTACCTAGAGGCTGCCAAAGGCCATTAGAAATCTTATTCTGGATGATTTAAGTTCAGGCCCATTGACTTCCAAAGAGATTTAATATTCTAAATACATAAAACTCAGTTTCAGCAATAACTTATGCCACTGCATCGCCTGGCCCGTTTTCTAATGCAGATGTAAAAAGTCAGCCTATTTTTATTTAAATTGTTTTGAATACTCACCAAAATAAATCCCTGCTAGTCACTTGACACCTTTTTTTTTTTTACTTGCTAAAAATCATCTACTAAAATATTCACTTCATTTCTGCAATGGCCATGGGTATCAACTAGGTGAAACAGTAAAGTTACTAAAACTTCTGGGAAGTTTCACTTAGCGTGCATTATTAAGAAATAATGAAGTAAGGAAACCATGTTAACAAGACCTTTTAAAATCTGATTACCCCAACTAATGTCTTTTTTCTATCATTTCTGTGCCAGTGAGAATGAAACTGAGTACTTTAGAATTACGCATTTTGAGATAAATTCTTTTACTCCACCTGAAAAGTTTCCAAGCAGCACGTAGCATTGATTACAGCTCTGAAACTCTCAGTAAAGCATCCTTTAAAAATCAGAGTTCAAGCATTCCTTTTAAATAGCTAAGGAAACAGCTAGAATAACACAGGGTTTTTCTAGTCATACATCACATCCCTCCAAATTCTAGCACCAAGAGTTCACAGAATTGTTTCTCTCACATCTTCTCACTCTTCTTTTTGGCTGCAATTGCTCCTGCGTAGTAACTTTTTCCCCTTCTTAGTTAGGTAAATTACCCCACAGGTGCTACCACCATCACCGATGGGCTCCGCCTTGGCCAGTGACAGGCCCATCTTGGAGCTGGCTGGCATTGGCCCCATTAGACACAGGAGAAGCTTCTGGCAGCTTCTCACAGAAGCCACCCCTGCAGCTCCCCCGCTACCAAAACCTTGCCATGCAAACCCAATACAACCAGTAACCTGATTATGCACAGAGCCTGCATCCGTCTAGTGCACACGTGCAGATGCTACTGCCTTTATGAAGATGCCTAGGCCCTCTGATCTTGAAGAGTAGTAACACTTCAGGGACAAAAGCCAAAGGATGCCTGTCCATCATTTTCAAAAGACAACCACTGCTCAAGGTAAACTGCAGAACCCCACATCCAACCAGTATCATTGAGAAAGAACAATGTTTGCATGCAATAAAGACAATTTACTGTTTTGGTGCCACATGTTACTCCTTTTAAGTTACCCTACCTGTTTGTGCCACCACGTGGGTCCAGCCACTCCAAACTGCTCCAATCTTTTCATGTGAAAAAAAATGAGTCTCTATCTTCTTGGGCTCAGCAAGAAAGATCTCTTTGCTCACTAGCTGCCCGTGTTTGTTGCTACCCCAGACATACAGGTGTCCTTCATCTACAATAGACAGAGAAGTAAAATACGTTGAAAATGGTACGCACAGACTACCATCAGATACAGCTCTGTCTCAAAACAGCAATGTGGAGGAAAGAACAACATTTCACTCAATTTGTATTTTCAAAGTATGTTTTTTCCTACCACTTTACCACAAGCATGCACACTGTAACTAGGGCATCGGAAATATTTTCAAGGGCCTTAACAACACGGCCTGTTTTCCAAGGGCTACATTGGCTCCCTGAAACAACCCAAGCTCAAACTGCCTTGATCTCACTTGTAGTGTAATTTTCATTAGAAATCCAACAACAGCAGTCAACTTCTCTGAGGAAAAAAAAAATCAAAGCATCTTAGGGACCCCCAAGGAGCAGTCCATCTCAGTCCACCCTGGTTTTGCAGGCCTGCTTTTACCTCCACCCCAAAGCTTTGATTTGGTCCAGTAAATTATCTTATGAATTGCAGCAAATAATTTAACTCCCTTCTAGTTCCTGGGACTCTTCAAAGCCCGGCTGGCTGCTCCTGCTCCGCATTACAGTCTCTCTCTAAGAGCTATGGACTTCTAGCTCTGCTCATAAATCTCCTGCCTTCTTCAGCTTGAGCAAATTCAGTAAATCCCCTAAAGCAGGGACAGTCTAATACTCAACTTGGGCAGACACACAGCTACGAACATACAACTAAAGTAGGTGCCACCCATCACAAGGCAAAATTAAGATATTATGATGCCTCGAAACAATGCTAGACAAGTAGTGAGAGACTTCCGCAAGTCATCACTTGTCTCCCCACCTCTTTTCTAGAGTAAGCATTTGTACAAGTGCACACTCCAGGATTCCACACACAGGGATAATTATATTTACAGAAACATCCACATTGCTTCATATGTTTCACCAGTGCACGCTGGAGTTGCTCACAGCAATTGAATGTAACAACATGACTGTTCAGATGAGTCCCTCTGCAGATATTACATACAACTAATTCCATCTTTTCAGCAGAAAATCATTCTGCCCAGGTTCTAGGCCTCCATGTTGGAAAAAACCACACAAAAACCAAACCATAATCCACAAGAAACACTTAACAGAACATCAGGCCTCTTGAAGTCCTCTCCCACCCTGTACAAACTACAAGCGTAAGAAACAAATCCTGCAAACATGAAGTACATGATCATGGGCCCAGAAAGACTGGAAGCCATATCATTTCCAACGTGGAACTGTTCCAAGCACATGTTCACAGCACTCAAGGCTTCTGAAAGTCTCAGGTCAGCACTGCACTTCACAAGCAGCATGACAGAAGCAAATCTTTCAGAGAGTGAAAAAAAAAGAATAGGACTTAGGCTTCAATATATTTAATGATCTCAGTTTTTTAACACTGCCTCTGTCACCTCCTTTGCTTTTCCAGAAGATGCCTTTGCTTTACCCTGGGAAATATCATATGCTCAACCCTCATCTCATTTCTTGAGTAGGCTTTAAGAAAAACTTAAGACACTAACACTTAGCACCATATTCCCACCACTGGAGGGTTCTCCCTAGTTTGGATGAAGGTAGAGTACCATTCCCTTATTTTTTGTTTTCCCTCCGAAAAGAAGAAAGGAATCCTTTCAAAAGGATAACAGATCTCTTCAAAAAGATTCTTTTCAGGAACCACCACTCACGTTTGCAACAGCCCACTTCAACAGATGAGTCAAACACTGCAGGTGCTTGGTATCCTACCAGCAGGTGGCTCATGGAGCAGAGCCAAAGAAAATGCATCACAGTGTGAAAGATTCCCAGAAAAAAAAACCCTGCTTCACTACTACACCCTGCAGTAGTACTTTACCAGATCATCTATCCTTAAAATACAAAATATATTAACCAATAACAAGCATCATGCAGGATGAAGGGCAGCAACAGCATCACATTATTAAAGTCTCTGGCATTTGCTCTGTTAATCTTGGTCACCCTGATGTCCAATATACTGCTCTCTTGAATAAAAAGCAAAAGCATGAAAGAATAATCTACTCGCTCTTTATTTAGAGTACTAATTAGCTAAAGAAGATTCTATTTGTCCTTACAGTCTTTACTAATCACACATATGCTCTGCATCTCAGAATTCAATATAATTTACGTCTTGGAACATCAATCCATACATCTAAACCTCCAGTGCTCCTTTAATGATGACAGAGGTACCACATGGCCGCATATTTGCTAAGAACTTGTTCCAGTAAAGTCTGGCAAAGACTTGTCGTCGTAAGGTTCAATATATTTTCCATGCTTCAGAAATGTAAGATTACAGAAGAAAAAGCTGTTCTGTTTCCCCTTCTCCTGGTCCACAACAACCACAAAACAAATCTTTACTAGACTTTCATTACTGGATACTTAATACTTCAGCACGGAAGTACTGTTTAAAGATCAAAGAACAACTGGCAGACATGAAAGTGCTTAAGTGATTAAAGCAACTTCCTACTGCTTTAAATAAGCCTTGTGCTCTCACACTGCCTTACACAGATCTGCCCACTGTTACATTAGAGCCACCTAATATAGTTCAGGCTATCTCACATCCCTGAACAGCACAGTCCCATGCAGAGGTATTAGGTTACGCAGAAGGAGGATAGCCACAGCAGTCCTTCTTGGGACAACCACTTAACCTTTCTCCATGGACAAAGCATTGCACTGGTTGCAGCGCTCAACCATCCAGAGTTATCCAACTGCAGCTCCAGAGATTTATCCAACCATGTGCTTCCACAAATCCTTTCAGAGTTTCTAACCTCTAAGAGCCCAGACCTTTACTTACTCATAAGGGCTAAGTCTGACCTCAAGAAAAAACACGCAGAATTTAGGTAATTCAAACCATGCATTAAAAAAAATTTTCTGAAGGTCTCAGAATCCAAAGCTATTACGAAACAATTAACCAGCACTAATGAGGCCAGAGCAACTATTACCAGTCTAACCAAAAGTGACAAACATTCCCAAAGCACGCAAACCTTTACCGGCTGAGATGAGGACTTCCACTTCTGTACCTAAGGCCTACCTGTGAGCGACACCGAATCATGGGAGCCTGCAGCAACTGCCTTCACCTTTACATCTTCCAGACCTAAAGAAAAATTAGTCTCAAAATTTGTAGAGCAGGTATCATTTTATGCATAGACATGCACACAAACATAACAGGATTATGATAAATTTTGTAATAAACCCCTCTGCTTTTTGGCCATAGATACTGCAAGAGTCTCTACCATTTCCTCCCATAGATTATGATCTCGTATGCCCATTCTATCCTTCAAATACTCCACCATATGCTTATATTACCAAGTGGCTTTATTATAAAAGGATGCTATGTATCACTCCAAACTATATTTCTGCTCTATCCACCTTTGCAAAGGAATAAGATTCCTGGATTACCTGTTACTTCACAAGGTTCCTTTGCTGTCAAGAACAGGGGGAGGATTTTCCCTTGGTGTGCACGCTTTGCCTGAGACGCCATGCCAGTTCCCCACTGAAGCACCAAACCACTCTCTTTCCAGAGTAAGCACAGACAGAAGAGATTAAAGCACATCAATGACCCACAAAAGCACTTAAGTCATTAATTAGGTTTAAAGGTACATTCACTTAATTTTCACTGATTCAAATTACACTTTAAAAGAGCTTTATGCCAAAAATATAAAGATAACCCTGGTGATGTCATCAAGCAACAAACAGTTCTAGTCTCATTATGCTAATATTCTAGTCTCCTAAGACCAAGAGGATACTAAGCAACCTGCCTCTGCCCTGAGGCCTATATTAGGACATTACTGAGGACTCAGTAACAGAAATCCCATAGCTGTAATGCCTCAGGAATTTATAAGTTCACTGCACTTTCTCTGCCCTTTCCTTCTCTTCATGCTTACTTGTTTGTGCAGTCCACCACATTGAGGGAATGAAGGCACTTTTCTTCTCCTCAGGAAAATTTGACCTAGCTCTAAATCAGTATGTTCACTGAGCATGGAGCTCAGGGAAGTTTAATTTCCAGGATTCATACAAGCACCAGAGATCCCACTCTTCTTCCAAGCATCTCTTTTAATCTCCAGCTAGTATGGATTCCAGGTAGTAGAATCTAAAGTTCATACAGAACTAAACCCAAACCAAATAGAAGTTTGTTGTTCCTCAAGTTTAACACAACCATGCAAATTGGAAGGGTTTGACTTCTACCGTTATTCCATGAACAAACTCTTCAAGTCTCCAAGAACAGCAGAAGAAATATTTAGAAGTTATGACCATCCCAAGTCTACACACAGCAGACAGTGGGACAGTCAGGGGACCAGATTTCTCAAGGTGTGAGCATGAAATTAACTCTGAGTAGAGCCTCTCCTTACCCTCCAAAACAAATTTCATTGTTGCCATTTTTCCAGGTGTCAGTTTCAAACACACCATTAAAAAAGCCACATTTCATGTGCAGTTCCATTTTGAAACATCTTACACAAACTAAACCCATTATTTTGCATATCATAATGAATTCAAAAGCCTCAGAAGGTATTTTTATGGACCAGAAATATTTTTTCCAGAAAAAGCCTCCTTACGTGTTTTTGTCTCAGAACAGGAGAAAAGAAATCAGTAAGTTTTCCACCCACCAGAAAATCAACTTGTTAATAAAACGTTACACTGAGGTACTGAAGAACTGTTCTTCACCACCAATTTCCTGGAAGTTTCTAGCATGTTCATTATTCATGTTAATTTGTACCAAAATCTTTGTATAAGACTTTCAGGAGTATTTTTTCTGTGATAGTTACAAATAAATAGAAGCTAAAATAAATTTCACTGTCTTTCCCTCCCTCTCCAAGCCATTAAAACTCCACTTCATTTGTTACTAAAATGATAGTAAAACTATGATGTATTTACCTGTAGCAGCAAGGGCATGTCTCAGTCCTGCAGCAACATCCACCACCTTCTCTTTGAGAGACTACTCAAAGAAAAATAAAGGGGGGTTGGGGGGAGAAGTATTTGAGTTGCTTTTTGCATTTAGTGCCTCTTGTCACAATGCATATCAACGGCTTCTATCATAAAGGAAGTACATTTTGACCAACAAAAATTAGTGGGAACATCTTACAATAAATAAATAAGTGAAGCAAAGCAAGTGTAAGCACAGCTTTGTGGCAATAAATAAAAAGCGATAGTGAAAACCTTCACATAAAAGAAGGAACCTTGGCAATACAAGTATGTTTATTTCTTAATTTTAACTCAGTGTTCCTCAAGAATTACACCAAAACATCCACAGCAAATACTGGTCACAAGCAGTAAAAAGTTCCCTCGAGCTGTTCAGTCTAAAGTGACTGCTTGCATTAGACCTGAGAGGTCATGTAGATGGCAAGTTCCATTAGTGTTCTCCATATAAAAAATTACAGTGTAAATTAGGGATTAACTAGAACTCCTGTCGTGAATTTATATAAACTGTTTGGCTTATAGCAAACAACAGGAAAGTTATTTTCATGTTCCAGAAGTCTCGGTACCTCTTAGTTACAACATTTTAAAACAATTAATTTGGAGGTATTCAGAACTCCCCATTCACACCTAGCAGCGCCTCATCTACAGATACCACCATAGACTTACAGGAACAACGTGAGTCGGAGTCCAGCCTTCAGAATTTACAACTGAAGGTACTGGACAATGGAGAAATTACTTTGTCCATCCTGTTTCCTTGGAAGCTGATACTGTTTGGTAAATAATGGCGGTCAGGTAAAAAACAAGTCAAGGTACTTGTTAATTCCTTTGCATGCAAAAGTAAACATCGTTTTAATCTCAAAAGTGATAAAATTAAAGTTTATTCCCTTAAGTCTAGTTTTCCTGCAACTACATATACGTTATTATTTTGGGGGTAACCAAGCTGTTTTTATAGCCAAGAAACAATACTACAGTCCTCATTTTGGAGGAAGAAACTCTGACAGTTATAAATGCACTCAATAAACCCAATACATACTTAAAGAACAGGACTGCTGCACAAGCAGCACAAAAGCAATACATAAAAGAATTGGCAAGGCTAACTTTGCTGAACTCCATCGTACAAGTTTCTTTTTTTCAGGGTGGATTACTGTTTTGTTTTGAGCTATAGAGCACAAACCTCCAACAAGGTACAGTGAAGGTACATACCCTTCACATAGCAAAACATATCTAGTATCTTACAAACTTGAGGCAAAACTTCACTTAGAGAAAATTTGCAGTTTCACTGCCATTCTTCAGATGTTATCAAAATACATTATGAAATGCTAGAATTCCTAGTGAAAGAGACAACTGTATTGGAAGTAGGCAACTTCTTCATACAATAAGAAAAGCAGCCTTAGCCTCTCATTTCTTGGTCAACAACCATCTTTGCTCCTTTTTTTAAGTTTACTGTAACAGACAGGCTTTATGAAAAATAGTTCAAGAGTCTAACTTAAAGCCCACTGACATCAGATGGCCTTGTAAATTGCTGAAAGCAATAAAAAGTAGAGAGCTCTGAAGCACAATTCCTTTCAAATCTTTACCTCAATCTTTTGTGGAATCAAGCAGGGACCTGAAATTTGAGGAACTCCTAATTGTCCGAAAGAGTTAGACCCACAGGACAGAACTAGGCCAGATCCTGCAAAATGAAGCGTTAGAGCCAAATCAGAAAAGCCGTGAGCAAAAGCTAAGCACTCTAACATTTTAACAAGCAAAATATATCAGCCAAGTAGCTCAGAAAAAGGACTTAACACGTCCCATTCCAAAGCCCCGTAGGCTTCTGGTCTTACACACCATGTTCAAAGATGTGAAGTTCACTGGGATACAAGGAACATGGAGTAGTTCAGTTTGCAAGGCAAAACCTGTGAGTGCCGGCGTGTCACACAAGCAACAGCAATTTGAAACTTTCAGTGTGTTCTCTACAGGAAGATAGTTCTTCAGCTCTTAGAAAGTCAGATTTACCTACTAACACAACTGTAAAATCCCAGCCACAGGCAACTTGCTTTACACAAAATCCAGACAGGGCAGTGCACAAAGTAAAATGTAGTACATCTTCTCTGTGATTCAATCCCAGCTGCCCATCTTTGTTATGGCCACATACAAAGAGTTCTCCTGCACCTGGAAATAAAAACAAATAAATAAGTAAAATTCATGTTCCACTGCACAAACCAAAACGACGAGTGTACATCCATGAGATCCTGTCACAAAAAAGGATAGTGATTATGTGTCATTTTAGGCACTGCAATCAGGCAAAAAGAAACCGTTACTTCTGATGCATTAGAACCATCTCTGAATAGGTACAGCTATGCAGAGTTGGGTTTTTCAAGGGAAACAATCCATGTGGAAAGACAGGTACCTCTCACTAAGATGCATAATGTAGTTTTTTTATCACATTCACATCTGTCTGTATCCTTTCTTCCCTATATTTAGCTATGGCATACAGCAGAAACTTTCCAAGATCAGATGCTATCTTCTGCTCCTTACCTTAAAACTTCTCAAAACTTACTTCTCAAAACAAAACTTCTCAAAAATAATATCACACTTGACTCCTCCCTTGCACACTCCATCCTCAACACAGAAAAACTGTCTGCTTTGTATGAAAAGCTGTTCTATGAAATAGCTTAAGAAACAGTCCTCACATAGCCATGAAGTGACCACACAAGATGAACAAAACAGAAATTTCCCCAGTTTCCCCAAGCATTGAGTTAACTGGCACAGGAGGAATCCGTTTTGCAACTAAGAATTGTACTTGCTCAGAAACAGAGTCCAGAGATAGGTGGCAGCACCAAATCAACAGGGAAACAGACAAACAAAAGCGTGTTTAAAAGTCACACACTCCGTGCGAGTGCAATGTTTTTACCAGTGATAACTGCAGAGTGTCCCCCTCCTCCAGTAATGCTTTTAACGTCTTGACATTTGCAGGAAACATCTTTCAGTGCCTGAGGTACCAGCACATCCTCTTTATGACCAAGACCAAGTTGTCCATAGCTGTTCGCACCCTTCAAACACACACAGAAAAACAACGCATTTTTTTAAATGTTAACATAAAAGAGACACATCTGCTCCTAAGAGCAAACGAGCTTAGCAGGGCTATGTCACAGGGTAAACTGACAGTATTTGCCCCTGAAAATCCCCCAAAATGGAAACCTTCTTTCTTACTGCTGTCATACAGGACCCCCGAACTACAGCTCAGGACCGTCCCAACTTTGCTGCCATTAAGGCTGCCCTTCCAACCCCAGCATTTTAAGAAACATATTGGAATACACCCTGGTAAGCCTTCAGCTGCAGATGATCAGTTACTAAGGGTGAAAGCCACATTACCAGGATGATTACCACCTGTTTAGTGTTATTGATTCCCACTCATCTCTCAAATCTTATTCATGCCAATGCTTTCTGGCAATCCACCTCCAAAAGGAGGTTGGGAAGACATGCTACCTTGTTCTGGAACTTAAGTAAAGCAGAAACACCTATCCCTCAGTAACTAAGTCTTTCCACTTACAGTGGCCACAACGAAAATATATCAATTATAATAAGTTTGCAGGTACAAAACTATAGCCACTAAACAAATCAGAGAAAGCAACCACTGACAACCTGTTATGTGTCATGGAAATTCTTAGCCAATTTAAGCTCTGTGAAGTGTCCAGCAGTTTGAACAGCAACCTTCGTTCACAAAGGTGGATTCAGTAACCTCCCTAGCCCACACACTGCCATAACAGCAAGACTCAATGCCCACACTGCTCCCAGCTGGTGATTCCCAAAGGATGCAGCACCTGGTGTATCTTGAAAAGACACATTTAACAATAAACATCTTGTACCTACAGAAATAACGGTATTTTAGACAAAAGCATCAGGCTGATCTCCTCAGCCTGTACTTAACATGTGCATGAAATGTCAGGATTCAAGCTCAACAGGTAGATCAAGTTGCTCTCTCAGTCACTACTAGTGGTAGACTGTTTTAGAGCGTGTTACTACTTAACAGGCATAATTCTTTTCAGGAGGCATGTCACAAGCTCTCATTTTAGCCTGTAACTCGCAATGAATTTCCAAGTCTTCAAAAGCAGGCAAGCTGAGGTAAGGTGCAGAAAGAAAGCAGGAACCGAGAACCACACATGCCTACCCCGATGCTAGCACACCTATCTCCATTTACCCTTCCAAAACTCATGGGTTGTTACCAAAGATGCTTGTCACACAGCAAAACGAGCTAACGAGGAGAAGAGATACCCGTTTAATGGCTCTCGAAGCCAAACGCGCGTCCACCCGTCCTTCACACCTCAGCGGCGGCAGCAGGTCGCAAGCACCGCCCCAGCAGCCCCC